ATGAGGGAAATACAATCCACTTCATGAGCAGCTCTGCCATCTTTGATGATGATTCCCATGTAATTCCTCCCCTGGGCTGGAACAAAGCACAGCCGTGGGGCTGGGCGGTGATGTAACGTCCTGCGGGGCCGGGCGGCCGGGCTGCATCAGCCTTAGCTGCAGCACTGCTTTCCTGGCTCGGAGTTCTGCATGCTGGGTTTGTTCTCACTCAGTTGAAGGGAGTTACTTTTTTTTCCTTTATTTTTTTTTTTTTCCCCCTCTTCTCTTTCTCCCAGCTCACCTTTTCTATGAATGCTTGCTCAGCGAGGGCGCATTTGTTGGCCCATCTAATTTTGTGGAGCACCTCATTTTCAGCCCTTTTTGCTGGGTGTCTTCTTCCAAATGAAGTTGAATGGATGGAAGTGGGACTTTTCACTTAACAGATACCATTCCGGTAAGTGCAGGGTGGGAAGATCAAACATGCAGGGAGAGGAAGTCGTGCATGTGAAGAAACTTGTCCTGATAGCTGTGAGGACAGAAACACCCTTCTTCCTTTCCCTGTCTATGGAAAGAGGCTTTGGGGTCGGGCAGGATGGGAATGGCTGGGCTGCATGTGCCATGAGTCACTGGGACCATATCCCAGCCAAGATGCTGCCCAGTTCTCCTGCACACAGCAATACAGCTCGCACCCCGCTTGCTTCCGTGGCCGTGACGCTGAAATCCCTTGTGCGCCAGCATCCCGGCAGGCAGCCTGGCTCAGTCCTCTGCTCCAGGAGGCTTAAGTTCCCACGGATGAACTGATTTCTCCCTGCCTCGAACCCCTGACGTTGTGCAGCTGGCTGTGCTCTGCCCGCAGGCTGTCGGATCCCGGTGCTGTGGATGGGTAATGTGTGCTGGGCTGGATTGACTGTGCGGCTCTGCTACCCAGCCTGACGGGAACAGGAGCCAAAAGGATTTCCTGAGGATAAACAATTACAGGCCACGTGTTGAGGTTTTCTTTCTTGCCGGGCTAATTGCTCTGCTCCCAGTAGCTGGTCTAGCCGCATGTGCAGCCCAGAGCATAAATCTGGTTGCTGGAGTGACCTGGAGGAGGAGAATACTGCGCATGGGGTCTGGGGCACCTGAAGCTGCTTCTGCCTGGGAGCAAGGGCTGAACCAGGTGATATCTCTCTCTTCTCCCTTCCCCCCTCCCTATTACTTTCTTGTACGTGTTTCTCTGCAGAGCAGCAGGGGCAGGGTTAGAAGACAACAGTGTTAACTTGTTGAGAACAGGAAAAACTTAATTTGAAGAAGCAGGGGCAAACAAGCAGGGTCCCAGCAGCTGAGGCTGAGTGCCTGGCTGCCCAGGGGCTGCTCTCCTGCAGTCAGAGCTGGGACAGGTTCGGGTGGCTGGGGAAGCATGGGGTTACAGAAATGTCACCAAGCGCACCATGGCATTTAGATTTTAGTTGTTGTTTCTATAACTGAAGAACCGAGGCTTTGAAAGGACCAGAAAACAACTAGAAAACCAGCAAATTATAGCTGTTGGGACTGATGCAAGCACTGACAACTGCAATCTTTGAGCTTTTTTGTTTTTATTTTTATCCAGTTTGCTCTTTCGCTAATTTTTGCCAGAGCAAATCGCTGCCTGTGCTCTGGAGAGCTCTCTGCCTTTCCAAAATAGCTGCCCTCAAGCAGACGTGTGTGCACAGCGTGAGCTGGAAGGGGAGGGGGAGAGGTCTGGAGGAGGGAAGACCTCGCTGTATTTTCTTTGTCACTGCTGTAAAAGCGTTTGGGCTCTTGTTCAAAATCCTTCTTCTGTTCTCAGCTCTGGAGTGTTCCTGCGATACTGAATTTGAGATGCCGGCAGCATGCTGGTTGAACTTTATTTTGGTCTGCCAAAAAAAAATGCTGCTGCAATGAGAAGGAGGGTTTTGTAACCCTGGCTCCTGCAAGGCAGAGGGAAGAGCTGAGATCCTGAAAACTTCCAGAGGGCAGTGGTTGCGCTTGAACAGTAGCAGCATACTTTCCACAAAATAGCAGCAATTGAGTAAGGTTTTCCCAGTTGGTAGCTGCTGGCTTTGGTCTGTTAGGCATTCTGCATCACGACTGATCCTGACTTTCTGCAAATTGCTGCTGAGCAGAAACTGTAATTACAGACGATGCGGTGTATGTGCTGGGAAAGTGTGGTGCTACATGATTTGTGGACAGGCAAAAAAGCACCCGAAAAGCTCTTAGGCTTTTTCATCCCCATAGTGCTTCGTGTCTCTTGGGATGCTCAACACAGAAATGCGCCAACCGCCCCCAGCTCTGGTCAGAGCAGGCTTTTTCCATAGCTCAAACTACCAGGTTTGGAGCAAAAGGAAGTTAATTAAAGGGCATTGAATGACCCATGAAGCTCTTGGCCAAAGGGCAGGCTGGTGGCTGTGAGGCTGAGCAGGGGCATGGGCTGCACTGGGGTGCACTGAGAGCCTCACCGGGACCTTCCCAGCTCTGCCAGAAGCCATCTCCTTCCTCTGCCACCAGCTGATCCCTTGTATCCCTGCCTGCTTCAGTCTCCATCCTGGGGGACGTGAAATGACCACGCTGTCCCATATTTTCCAGCCCATGCTGGTGAGGGGGCTAGGTGGAGGCCCCTTAGCCAAGAGGATTGAGGCAGGACTCCAGCCTCCTGCTGCTGTAACAGCACGCGTGGCCGGGGCCTCTCATTAGGAGAACTAAGGGTCACTGCCTGCGTCTGGCTCCTCTCACCGGCAGATTAATCAAGGCCATAAGTGCTCTATTTCCAGGCTCTTTGGCACAGCTCGCTTCCCCACATGAGCTTAGCAGGGCCTGTGCCTGCAGGGCTGCCCCCAGTGATGCTCCTGGGGCCGGGCTGTGCTGCTCGCTCCAGGAAAGGGCTGGTTCCTGCAGGGAGTTTATCTGGAAAAGAAGAAAGAACACTAAGGTTTCCTCTCTCCACCCTTCTTACAGCTTTCAAGTGGCTCTTTCCCTTGTTCTCCACACCCTCCATTGCTCTCTGTGCTTTTATCACTGGCTTTATTTGCCAGATCAACTTTTCCAGGAATCTTGGTTGGTTTGGGTTCTGCTCTTTGCAAGCCCATTGTCCTTGCTGAAGGTGACAGTGGGTGCATGCAGCAAGGCCGCATGTCCTTGGGAAGGGGGACCTTCTGTTGCTGCTCTGTGCCTTGGCTTTTGTTGAGAAAAGTGTAATTTGGGTAGGAGATGCTCTCCTGGGGACAAGGGATAAGGTTCAGGTGTTGAGCCCCCTGCAGCATGGTTATGTGCTGATCATGCTACCCTTGCTCTTGGTGAAGAAGAGTTGTTTTTTTTTTTCCTTTCTTCCATGGCATTGGTCCTTTTTTCATCATATTGTCCTTCTATGCACTTTGTAGGTGCATGTTGCTTGGTGGTCATTGGGATGGATCCCCTGAGCACCTGCTCAGAGCCACTACTGTTACTGTTTTCTTAATTTCTATTTTTCGTGTGTTTAAATGGCAACTTTGTGCCCTGCTCTGCTCCTGGCCGCCCCTCCTGTACATGTGGCCACCCAGCAGAAGTCACCTTGGTCCCAGTTCCTCTGGCTGCCCTGAGCTTTGCTCAGCTCCAGCTGTTTGTTTCCAGACCTATGGGTTCTCAGAGCAGCAAACGCAGGGATATTCCCCTTAGGACAAGGCAGGTTATCAGCTCTCACAGACACAGTTGGAAGTGCAGTTGATTCAGATCGATGGAGCTCGCTCTTTAGATCGGGAGATCTGCCTAGCATGTGGTCTGTGTGGGTAAGCATAGCCTTAGCTGCTAAATTATTAAGTGTTTCGTCAAAGTGTTGCTTGTACTCACACAGAAGTGACTCAGTGCAGAGAGTAATATAAAAATTGGCAAGAAGAATTTCAATTAAAAATATATTGGTTGGGTAACAGTACTGAGCAGGCGGGGAGGTCGGCGTGCTCAGCCGACCTGGCAGTTTGAGGAGGCAATGTGAAATTTGTGGGAGCTTTTTAGAGTTGTACACGTGTTGTTCTCCTTGGTTCTGAGGATAAATGAAACAGAACAGGCTGGTTTGGGAGTTGTTATTTTTGTTGGCTTTTTCTTAGTAAATCATGTCGCCTTCTCTACTACTTCTGTGATACGTGGAACAATGCAGGAGTGATTGGACTTCAAACTATTCGTGAGATCTAAGCCGTGTAATGTGGTTTAATCTTTCTTCTGCATATATTTAATATAAGCTGTGATTTCATTCAAATGGTTGAGCTTTGTACTTGTACAGTATCATTATCTCTGGTTTGGTAGATGGCTTTTTTTAATGCCTGTGGTTTCTGTTAGATCTGTTTCTGTGAGTTATTTGTCTTTACTCTGTGGCTTGAAGATATCTTCAGCACACATGAAAGGAATTCCTTTTGATTAGTTTTTGGTTGATGTGCTTCTTGCAGCCATACTAAATTAAATGTGTTTCTTTTTTCCCCCACTACTTTTTCTGAAAATGAAGGAAGCAGGTAACAGGGACACTGGTTTCCATAGCTCACTTCTGCAGAGCATGAATTCATCCCATGTTGAAGTTGGTCTCTGCCATTAATTTTTACCCAAGTTTGCTAATTTTTACCAAGATGACCACGTGCCAACCTGTTCTGTGCAGGGTGCTGCAATAGTTTCCCTGAAATTTGGGAGAGCTGGGAGGTGCACAGGCAGGGAAGGAGAGAGGTACAAATTTAGGCTAAGTATGTTGGAATTGTTTGGAGCGGAAAGCTTAATTCTGCCATCTCTATGTAGTGATTACTTCAGGTCATAAATGATGTTGGTAATTAGCTGCCCTCACCTGGCCCACTGCCATCAAGCAGTAGCTGTTCCCAGCTCATCCCAAAGAAGTTGATAGCAAAAGGCTGAGCCTCAATTGACTTTCATGGTTGTATTGATAGATGGGCTTTTAAAATTTGGACAACGTAAGAGAATAGCAATCATCTCTGATGCCTCCTTTTTTGAGGCTGCAGTTTCGGACAGTCAGCTGTTCTCTGCTAAGAAAAAAAAGCCCCACAGATGTGGGACACTTGGGTTCTGCTAGAATATTTAGAAGAAACGTGTTTATCTGAGTTGGTCCTTCCCCTCTGAGCCACGTGCCAAGGGGTCTCTGGACCTGCACAGAGCAAATGAGACTGAAATGCACTGCTGCTTAAGCAGAAAAGCCATCCGTTCTCCTGACATTCTGTTGACATAAGGGGCATTTGTGTAACAGTTAAAATGTGTGCTTATTCTTTTAAAATAAACTTTCTGTGCAGTGAGTTTGTGATGCGACACTGCCTGCTTCATTATTTCTGTTTTTATTTTGGATGTAAAACAGCATCCAAAAATAGCATTAAGCTCTTAAAAAGTCCAGTCCTGAGTCCATGTCCTGAGGGAGGCAGGGAGATGTTCTGGGTGGGCTTGAGGGTTTGGCAGGGGAAAAACATTCCCTGAAGGAAGGTGCAGCTTCTACCCCTTGTGGAGCCCTGGGGAGAAGCCTGGAGCCTGCAGCTTTGCCTTGAATCACGGAATTGGTAAGCTTGGAAAAGGCCACAGAGATCATCTAGTCCAGCCATCAACCCATCACCACTGTAATGTAGCCACTTGGTTTGGCTGAACGATTCCCTGCTATTGGTGAGATGGAGAAGTCAATTAAAGAACAACCAAAAGCTGGAAGCTGTTGCTACAAATATTGATTTGTTGAGGGGTTTTTTGAGTTAGAAGCTAAGAGTTCCCTTTTCTCATTGCCCCAACAGTGTGCTGGGGAGGAGAAGCGGGTCGGTACACGAACTGTGGTGGTTGGGCACCGGCCTGTTTCAGAGGCGGATGCCTACGTGGCACAGAAGTTCTGCGACAACAGGATTGTCTCCTCCAAGGTAAGCTCTCTGCTGGGCTGGATGAGAGCAAAGCACCTGCAAGCTGGGGTATTTCCTTGTCGTTTTTAGGCATTCCCTTTTTATGGATAGGGCAGGCCAGGTGTCCTACAGCATGTGAGATGACAGCTGTTTAGATTCGCAAAAGGCAGTGGGGGTTATTTTATAAATGGACATATACATATGATTCCCCTGCCTTTTGTTTGCATGGGTTTTTATCTCTTCGAGCAGATCAAAAATAACCGTGCTTGCTTTATCCCTTTGGATGAAAGGGGAAACATTCATACTGTATTAATATAGCTTTTGTTTGTTGTGGAAAACTGTGGTGACACCCGTCTACCTTCTGCTTAGCTTTTTCCATGACATTCATGAAGTTCTTTCAAGAGATTTGAAGCCAATTCAAGTGAAATATCAAACAAGTGGCATCTGATATTGTCAACACAGCTGGATGCATGTTGTGTTGCTTAGGAGCCGTGATGCTGAGCATACTGTTAAGCTTCTGCCATGCTCAAGCTGTACGGGCTTTCTTCCTTTCCTTTCTTTATTTATACAGCTTGGGTCTTGTTTGTACTTTATGACTTGTGCTGCATTTATACTGGGGCAAGTTTAAAGTCTAAATAATGTGTAGCATTCCCATTGACTTTCCCCTGATGTGCAGGAGGGGTCCTTCAGAGATCACCTTCCCATGCTTGAGTTCTCTCTCTGATAAATGGTTTGTTTTAGCACTAATTCTGTAGTTCTTCCCTGATTTATTTTTGAATATTGTGCCCTTTTTCTTTTTTTTCCACTTGCGTTTGCTCACATGGACTCTTCTTACTTGAGCAGTGTTTTCTTACTAAATGAACATTGGTCTTGAGACTTGGCTGCTTCATATTCATTGTTTATTCAAAGCAGACTGAAAGATCGGATGTTAGACCCATTATTTTCCACGTTGTTCTTAAATTCCACATTTTCCAAGCAAATAATTCAGCTCCATTCTTAAAATGATACCAAAGGGCAGCCTAATAATGGATCTGCATGGGCAAGAAGTTTAAGCAGAACAGCAACTCCAGATTTTCTTTTAATTTGGAAAAAAAATCTTTGTAGCATGCATTATCTTTTCATTAAGTTGTGTCTTCTGAAATGCCCACATAGATGCTGGTTTGTTGGAACCAATCTCATGGTGTTTATCTTTTTTTGCTCCCCACTGTCTCCAACCATGTGGTTTGGGTTACACGGACAAAACAGAAACAGTTGACTAACTTAAAAACCAACAAACAAAGAAGCCCCACCTGACTCCAAAACAATTTCAACTGTTTAATGAAGCAGTGGAGAGGGCCAGAGTTTGTGATGCAGTGCTGGAAGTGGAAGCTGGAGCTCAACCACAGCTGCATTGTGCCCGTCGAGGGGGGTGGCAGCAGTGCTTCCTCTACCTCCTGCCATGGTTTACCTCAACTTAAAGGAGAGAACTCGTGTCCTGTCACGTGCAGATAACTCCCATTTGCAGTCCACAGTAAACCCTGTGTCTTGTTCTCTTTGTGCTGGCACCTGGAAGCTGCAAGGTGCCCAACAGCCCATTCCTCTCTCCCCGCAGTACACAGTGTGGAACTTCCTCCCGAAAAACCTCTTTGAGCAGTTCAGGAGAATTGCCAACTTCTACTTCCTCATCATCTTCCTTGTGCAGGTAAGAGCCTTCACTGCCAAGCTGGGTGCTGGAGGTGTTTCTTTTTACATCCTCATGGTAAGCACAACTTGAGCACCAAGAATGGAGCTGAAATCTGCCTCTTGATGCTCGTAAATGCAGTTGTTTTCCTTAAAAGCTGTATTATAATTCTGGTAGGCCATTCAAGGCATAGTAACAATTACAGTTTGGGGGCCTGTCTGAGGCAGTATCCAAATGTCTGCTGAAATGATTTAAAACCATGTCAAGGTATGTATGGTTAATGCTGCAGAATTAAGATCTAGGATTGTGGGTTTTTTTTTTTTTTTTGTCATCTTTGTTTCTTTTGCTCTATAGCAACATGTATTTTCCCAGATAATGTGATGTTCATACATCTTAGTTACAGTGAGTTTCAAGGCAGCCAGGGGAGAGGGGCTGTATTCAGTGAAATTCAGGAAAAACATGGCAAGAGCTTTGGGAATACGATGTTCAGGATGCTGTGCTCCACAGACAGAAGAGCAGATTTTATACACGGGTGAACTTGTGCTCTGCTTTGTGGCTTCGCTAAGGGACAAGCTGAGCAAACCTGAATATTTGTTTTCTGTTCTGTCAACCAAAGAGAAAATTGGGCTGTCAGAATGCATTTCTGGGGAAGGAATGGGAAATATGAAAGACTCACCGCAGTGCATTTATTCACCTTTTACTCCCATACTCAAGCACGAGGTTTACCAGATACCTTATTGTAGGACTGGTATTGAGGCATCAAAGATCCTCCCCCAGCAAACTCACAAGTAGCACTGTGAACAGCTTGCATTTAGATGGCATCTCTGGCATTTTGTTGGGTCAGGTCTCAAGGTATCACACTCCCCAAGTCTGCATGTTTAAGAGACCTCACATTTTTATCCCGACAGCAACGAGTTATGGTTTATGGCCATTTCAGCAGCTGCTAGAGAAGCAGGGGATCCCAAGGTGGCGGCTGTGCACGGCTCCTGGCAGTGCTGCAGGAAGGCAGCTAACCCTGGCATCAGCTGTTTGCCATCGCTTGATTTTACTGGCGCCGCTCCCTCGTGTCACAGGGAATTTGTAACTTGGCTGGCACTGAAGTCGGGATGTCCTGGTGGAGATGGTCTTTTAGTGATGTGGTGTTGTGTTTGGTCTGCTGGCCCTCTGGACGCTAAGGACACGGCTTGCTCTTGATTCCAGTTGCAGGACTCACCGTAGTTTAGCTGCTTGCCTGTTTTAATCACAGATATATATGTAGGTGAGAGAAAAGTCTTGCCCTTCCTGCTTGTTTTTGCTCTGTGAGCTATGATTGCCTCCAAAATATGGAAGCAACTGTCATGTTCTGTTGGAGGGGAAAACCCAAACCCAATGGAACAATAATCCCACAACACTAACACACTTGCTACCCCATAAAGTCCACAGGGGCCCATGGCACTCATCATTCTGGGTCTGCTGGATCTTAAAAAATAAAAATAATAATAAAAAAAAAAGCACTCACAACAATTCTAGTCACTTAAAATATCAATAGTTATAGCGTGGTAAACGGATCTAGAGCTTCAGTGTTTATGTTTATCTTCAAATTACTGTAAATTGTTAGAGTTGTCCCCAGTGCTGCTTTAGGAGCACAACCTGGCAGTACTTGTTGCCAAGCTGCAAATTCAGCTCTTGGTTGAGAGAGAGGTAGGAAAAGTACACACATTAAACATAAGATGCTAATTGGTGCACTAACAGGGATACAGATACCTGTTTCATTGGCACTTCTGTTGCAATACCCAGGGGAAACTGAGTTTCCTGGAGGAAACAGAGTGCCCAGAATAAGTGTGGTCAAGGTGCGTTTGTAGAGAGCGAGCTGGCAGCAAACAGCTTATTTAGGAGGTGCTAGGAATGAAAGATGTTCCTTACAATAAAGATGACTTCTGGATTGTGGTCTTCAGTCTTGTAAACAATGAATTTGGAAGTAACTGTTAAGTAACAGAAGGATTTTGTCACTTTTAAGTGGATCCAAATGAAGCTGTTGAAGTCCTAAAATATCTCAGAAATAGCTTCAGAGGAGTTTGCCTTTGGTTTGGCATGCAGCTCCTGCATCCCTCTGCTTCCCACCAGCAGCCAAGGAGGAGCAGCAGTGTTGAGCCATAACTCTGTGTGGAGTGCAGCAACAACCTCCAAATACATCACTGGGTTATTTCAGGGACTTAATTCAATACATGTGTTCATACCTCTATAACACAACATTTGTGTGGACAGAAATCATATTGTTTGTTTAAATACATGCAGCTGCATGTTGTCTAGTGCAGAAAACTCGTGTGGCCCAGCAGTGAGGGACTCAGGAAGCCCAGGGCAGATCTCCCTCAGCTCTCCCTTGCTCTGCCCACTTCCTGTGAGATAAAGTTAGGCTAACTGACCCATGCTTCAAGTGGCCATCTGGGTGTGCCATCCCCTATGTAACGTGTCCACGACTGCCATTGCTCACTTGAGGTTCTCCAAAGTGGTTCCTGCAGCCTTCTGTTTGTAAGCTGTGGCACTCATTAGGATGAGCCAGGGGCTGTGTACCTGAAGGACTTGCTGTGCTTACAGCAATTGCTCTCTGCTTATCTCACTCCCCTGACCTGGTGGCTGCATGTGCTTTGTGCTGAGTAAAATTGCAGTGTGCAGCATTTCAAAGAGTTACATTTCCACATAGCCTGCTCCCAGTGCTGCGCTTAAGGCAGCCTGAAACAACAAACATACAGATGCTGTTGTTTGTGAGCATGCTAGGAGAATGCAAACAAACAGAGCACAACAAAGGCCCTTTGTGGGACACAAAGCCTTTCTGCCTGCTTTGCTTCTCTGTCCCTTTCCCTCGAAGCCCTCTGCATCTGCCTCCTGTTCTTCCTCCTCTCCAGGGATGCCAAGTAAACAGCCAAATTCCTTTACCCTGGTTTTGGGGTGTCCCTGGGGAAGCCCTGCAGTCTGCTCTGGTCGCTTTGGTCTCTGCACAGGGTTTGGACTGATGCTGGGAGTGGTGCTGCTGGCGGTCCCTAAGGCCTGCTGACTGCAGGCGTTGCTGCCTCTCAACTTTCTGTTTGCTTTTGGGCTGCTGCCCTCCTGCTGCTGAAATGATGCTGGCACTGAGCAGGCACGAGCACCTGCTTCTGGAGGCCCTCAGCTGGGAGCTGAAAGGCTTTGCGTTCTGTCCCTTGGGAGAGGGCACCTCTGTGATGAATTTCATCAGTGGGGAAGCAGTGCAGCTCTTCCTGTTCTGATGTGAATACATCCCAACGATCAACCTGTTCTGCTGTTCTTCCCCTTCAGGCCAAGTCATGATGCTGTCAAACAAACACTGTGGTTTCCCACAGCCCCAGGGTTTAATTAAAGTTGAAGAGGCTCTGCTGGGTTTTGTTCCCTGGGGGCTCAAGGCCCAGCAGGAGCGCTGCGCTCAGCTCAGGGGCTCCAACTACTGACCCTCATGTGATCTCTGTGCTGTGTTTAAATCATGCTCTGAACTCAGCATCAGAGCCCAAAGGCAAAATGTTCATTTCTGGTTTATTTAGACATTTGTATTCCATTTCACAATGTATTTCCATAGTAAATAAGTCTGGTTTGTGTCACTTCTGGCATCTTGGTGTCAGTGGTTCAAGAGGACTGGTGCTGCCCTCCTGCTTGCAACTGCCCATGATTTGGGGTTTGGATATGCCTACTCTTCACTGCCGAAGAGGAGAAATGTTTTTTTTCCTGATTTTCAGTGAGAAATGAGGGCACCTTGCTCTTCACATATGGTTGCTGCTTCTGCCCCGTCCTCCTTCCCTACCTTGGTTCTCTCCAAGTGTACCAAGCGCCGTTCTGCACTGTGGCCAGAGTTCTTGCTTATTCTGCTGCTCAAAGCAGGTTGTCACCAGTCTGCTCTTACTGTCCGCAGGTGATAGTGGACACCCCAACCAGCCCGGTAACCAGCGGCCTTCCGCTCTTCTTCGTGATCACTGTCACAGCCATCAAACAGGTACCAGCAGTAACTGGGAGAAGATAACATTCCTGTAGGCATGTTCTCGTGCTCTCTGGGATGTCTGGCAGAGTAAATAACCAACAGGGGCTGGTAGAGTTTGGGAACCTCTTCTCAGAAGGTCTTTTCAAGAGACTGCATGCTGAATGTGGACATTGGTGTATCTTGTTTGGCAGTGTAAAACGTCCACCTCTGTATTGTTGAAAGCAAATTGTGCTGGTTAGCAGAGATAAGCATCGTGGCTGCCTCTCTAGGTCTGACTTTACTTGAGTTTTTCTTCTCTTTTTAGAAATGTTCTTGAACCCTTCGCAGGGTATACAGATGCGCTCCAAATATAGCCAGTGCTCTGCTGCCTTGTTGGTAAATAGAAGGGACAGTTCAAACTCAGCTAGCCTTGAAAGCATGTAGTCCTCTTTCCTCTCGTAGTGTTGAAAGACCTCTTTTCTCCTATCACATGCAAATGTGCCACTCTGAATTTCCTCCACAGAAGCTCTAAATAATAAGATAAGTTCCTTCTGCAGGGGCCAGAGAGGGAGAGCTAGAGTAAAATATGTATGAATGTTTTATTCTTTTAGTGAAGACTGAAGAGAAAAGACTTGTCCTGCGTTACCATAGGAAGGAGTCACAGGGTGCTAAGCATATTATTCATATTATCAGCCTGTTCTTGCCAACACTGAGAATAATAGAAACATGTTACAGTAATTTAGCTGCTCGTTGCATGCACTGCATATAGATTATTTTTCGTGTGTTATTTTAATCTGTTCTGAATCTGTCAAATATGCATATGAAGTTTTTAAAATAAATTGATTCAGTCTGAGCTACTCTAGTTGATGTTTAGTCAGGCATGAAGAGTTCTGAGGACTGTTTAACTTACTCGTTTCTTTTTTTCCCCTCTCTCCTTCTTTCTCCCTCCCAGTGCATCCTATCTGATTAGTTTACTGCTCTATTATGGGTTTTGTTGCTTGTATTTGTGTGCCTAGGGGTACGAAGACTGGTTGAGACACAGAGCTGACAATGAAGTGAACAAGAGTAATGTCTTCATTATTGAAAATGCGAAGCAAGTGCAGAAAGAGAGCGAAAAAATCAAGGTAACCATTAACAGACAATTCAGATGTGGCTGTCACCAGACAGGACGCTGGGGTCTCTGATACACACTGATGCCTGCAGCAGGGATGTACTGTGGTCTCCCCGAGCTGCACAAGGTTTCTCTGACTTTTGCGTGAGCTGCTCTGAGAGTCCTTCCCAGTTAATAAGTGAAGCTTCCTTTGTTTGACTGCTTTTGAGAAGCTGTCTTGCAAAAGCTGTGCCTGTGCTGACAAATGACAGATCTGTCAGTGTTCCGCATTTGTCTGGGACAGGCAGTCCTCTTCTATTTCCAACTCTCCCAAGGACACCAGGAAAGCACACCGGCTTTGACGTTAATTTATCACCCTGCACTTCAGATTAGTGCAGAGTCTCTGACTTCATCAAGATTCAGCAGAGAACTGAATAATAGTGGTGCTGCGTGGGCAGGCTGCCTTGGCACTGGGTGGGCTCTGATCCTGGGGCACCTGCATGGCAAGGGGCAGGCTGCTGGTGTTCTCAGCAGGCAGAGAGCTGATCCTCCAAGTAATCTTGACTTTTGATCTTGATCTTGAACACCCTGATTCCTCTTTTAGCCAAGCTGATTTCTTCTAGGCTTTGAGAGGAGCTAAATCTGTAAGCATCTAATAATATCAGAGAGGTTTTTTTTTTTATTGAAATGTCTCTCTTCTTGCAGGTTGGAGACATAGTAGAAGTGAAAGCAGATGAGACCTTCCCCTGTGACTTGATATTTTTGGCCTCAAGTAGCACTGATGGGACCTGTTACGTCACTACAGCGAGTCTGGATGGCGAGTCAAATTTCAAGGTGATGGGGATGGATGGGCAGCACGCAACCGAAGCTAGTGCTCGTGCAGAGTGTGTGTGTGTGTGATGATTAATTGGAGGATGCTCCTGCAGCACCCGTCCCCACGGCTATGGCTATATTTAACATCTCCTCCCTCCGTCTGTTCATCCAGTGAGTCAGCAGCCAAGTGCTCTGTGGATTGTTTGTTTTCCTTTGTTTCCTTAAACAACCATTTCTGCTGGCACTGCCCCAAATTGATTCCATCTTTATCAGAATAAATGTCTGTAGCTAAATAGTGTCAATAAATTATTATAAGGCTTAGCTGCATTGTTGTCCACCCTAGGCAATGTGTACTGCTTTCCTGCTCCTGTTGCGTGTGTTGAGATCTGACGCATATAGGTAAAGCAGCAGCTTGAGTTTGTAGTCTCTTTTCGGTACCTGCCAGCACTTCTGTTATTTAATGGACATATTTTGGTGTGATTTGGGACTTTCTGAGGCACTGTGTCTTGTTTGATTGGGGGAATTTCTCACCAGTGAGCAGAAAACTCCCTCTCTTTTTCGGTTGGGTTTTTTGATTTTTTTTTTTTTTAATTATTATTTGATTTTATTTGTGCTTTTCTTTTGTTGCTTTTTGTTTGTTTGCTTTCCTCTTCCCTGAATCAGAAGTGAAATTTGATATTAGTGTTGCTCAAGGTGAATCTCCTCTTTGGTGTGTTTGCTTTCATTATTTTCCTCCCTCTCTCCAAGGGAAAGAAATAATAAAATCATGTTGGTCACAAGACATGAGAATTTGTTCGCAGCTGAATAGTTAGGCAGATATTAGCAACTGCAGTACAAAGAATGGAAGTTACTTTGGAATTTCATGATGCTTTCCAGCACACTGGGGAATAGCAGTGTTGATCTGACTGTATGGGATCTCCAGCTCGCCTCTTAATTAGTGGCTGTTAATTGGTGCTGATAATTTTGTGTGTGAGCTGACGCAGTGTTGATGTACTGAATGGTTATACTGGTGAGGAGGAGTACAACTTTGGAGTGGTGTCAGCCCAAAAGCAGATATCCATGTTAAATAGGCAACTGCTTGTTAGTGTCAGGTGTATTGTATGCAAGAGTTAAACTTTTCAGAGTCTTGGCTCTTAGAACCTGAGTTTCTAAGCAGAATGCTATATTTCTATATTAAGCACTGTATTTTTCTCAGTTTGTGGATTCCTGTAGGTGAAGGGGAGCTGTCTCCTGTTTCTTGACAAAATTAAGGTGGAGACGGAGTTGGAAGGTGCAGGAGGGAGTAGAAAAACAAGTGCTGTTTGGGGAAACAGCTAAGATTAGGAACCAGGGTGTGCAGCAGAGCTGGGGTGAGGGAAGCACATGCAGGTACTCACAAAACCTCCTCCACACGGGTAGCAGTTGCCTACCTGTTGGGTGTTTCTTTGGTGCCTGTTAGGTCATGGAAAACATGCCTAGGAACTGGAGCAGTTATAAAATGGATTGTGGCAGGGCTCTGTCTTTGCAGCATGAATCTTCAGCTGTATGTTATCTCAAAGAGCATGTGTTTTCTAAATAGGCCGAGGGACTGCGGATGTAAAGATTGTGGGAGTGATTAGGAGGCTGCTTTGAAGCATCATTCAGTAATTGCACAGTGTCCATGGAGACATGAGCAGTGGATGCAAAGCTTGGCACGGGGGCCTGATGTGATATTGGGCATTGTGTGAACAGTTCTGGGCTGCTTCACAGGAGCTGTGATTTATAGCAGAAATGTGTGTGCTTCCAGTACAAAAATCCAGGCAGATCACCAGCATTCAGGTGGGTGTTTATAGCATCACGACTGTGTGCCTCGTGGGAGGAACTGCTACACTGTGCACAATGAGAGGAACACAAATGAGTCGAGGAGGCTCGTTAATAAATTTGTTGATGAAGACGGATTAAGGCAGCCTGTCGCACAGCCTGCAGTGGTTCAGATGCTCCGGCAGCTCCTATAAATAAATAGTGTTTGCAGGCAGTGCACAGATCCTCGTGCAGTTCCTAGCTAATTGTGAGCAATGGAGCTTCACAGCACCTAAAAATAGCTTTGGGGCTGCCAGCGCTCAGCCTGCTCCCCAGCACTGGGGCTGCCCTCTCCTTACCCAGGAGCATCCCAGGGGCACGCTAGGGAGCAGTGGGTACTGGGTGAGGAGGGACCCTCCTGAGCTGTTCCCAAGGCTGCCACTAAGCTGATCCTCTTGTGTTTCTCCTCCCAGACTCACTACGCAGTGCGGGACACCACCGTGCTCTGCACGGATGAAGCCATAGACTCCCTCACAGCCACGATCGAGTGTGAGCAGCCACAGCCAGACCTCTACAAGTGAGTGTGTGCATCCTCACTGCTCCAGTGAGCTGCCTGTCCTGCAAAGCCTCAGCGTGATCAGCAGAAATAAGTCATAGTTCACTAAAGCGAGTGGGGTACCTTCCAAGTGAAATGTGTTGGCTGAACTGCTTCTGGATTAGACTTGGTTGTTAAACTCTTGGAGAGGGAGGTTTGCTGCTGTGTGTTTTACTCCTTCATTCAAGTAGGCTGGGGGTGGCAGCCAGAGGCACCTGGGCTGGGTGGGCTGTGCGTTGGCCCTTCCAAAGCCTTCATCTCTCAGGTGCACGAATTTCCATGTTTGTTCCCATCTCCTGATGATGCCCCTTGAGTGCATTTGTATTACTCATTTATAATATTCATGTGTTTGTAATACAGGATTCTCGTGTATTTTTTCATTACAGATTTGTTGGAAGGATCATCATGTACAGAAGCAACCAAGAGCCTGTAGCCAGGTTAGTCTTGCAGCTCTCACTGCCCCCCTCAAAGATGCTGGGCATCTGAATAGACATCTACATCACATTTCTGGGATCTGGATCCCAGTGCTCCTGCATGCAGGGCCACCACACGTGTGCACGTGGACTGGGGTATTTCCAGTCTCCTTCACTGGTTGTTCTGAGCCCTGTTAGGTGAAGAAAGGGAAGCAGCTGAGGGTCACGGGTAGGACATTCAAAGAGGAATAAAATTACATCTTGTATGGTGGTGCTGCTGACTGACTGTGCTGAAGGCATTTTCAATGCTTTTAAAACCGTTTTTATGTAAGTACCAGGACTTGTTAGATCTGAACATTTGGCACTTATCCTTCCAAAACTTCACTGAGAATCCACCATTAAATTTGGAACTTTGAGCACTGAGGATAACTTGTGTGAAATGAAATGGAAATAAAAGCATGTAAAAGGAAAAACAGGCAAAGTCATGCGGCGTCCAATTGAAAGCTTAAATGAAGTGATCAACTCCTAAAAATCATCGGTTTAACTTTATAATTCATCCCTAGGATTTAAACTGTAAAGAACTTTGAGTGACATTCTATTATAACCTTTTATTTTTAGGTCTTTGGGTCCTGAAAACTTGTTGCTGAAAGGTGCTACCCTCAAAAATACCAAGAAGATTTATGGTGAACAGTTCTTAAAAATTATGATTATGTAAATGGATCAGATGAGCAACTACATTTGTCATTATTTATCATGAAATCTAGGGAGGAAAAGTACTTATCTGCAGGGCTCTGCAGTTGTTTTTGTACTCCAGCAGAGCTATGTTGAGTGCAAAGTTTGGGGGTGAAATGCAGAGGTGCTGCTTATTAACTGCAGGTTGTGTTAATGCACCTAAGCAAGCTGTTCTTTGTGTCTGGGTTACAGAAGCAGGAAGCTGTTTGCAGCTCCTCTGTTAAATGCTTGTGCCAGAGTCACAGGTCTAGACACCGGTAATTTAGGATGAAGGCTGTTAGAGAAGACTGATCTTTTTTCTAATTGTGCACAATCCTTCAGCTCCTGGTCAGTGCTCAGGGACACGTGTAACTAAGGTTACTTAGCAGGCACTGAGCTTTCTGCAGCCCCTGGGTAATGCCAATTTCTAGAACTGGGGATCAAGTTCCATGTAAACACTGATGCCCTTGATGGCTCGGTGAAAGCTGGGTCCCTTATGGGTTGTGAGTCCCTGATGAGTTCTGCTTTAATCCTCTGCAGGAGTGGCAGTCTACACTGGAATGGAAACAAAAATGGCTTTGAACTACCAAGGGAAATCTCAGAAACGCTCTGCTGTGGAAAAGTGAGTACAGCAGGCGAAAACTGGTAAAAGCTGTGGCTTTCTTCACGGGTGATTTGCACAGAAATAATCCCCTAATCTGCCGCCTGTTGTTTCAGATGCTTTCTGATTTTCTGTGCAATCTGGGTATTTGATTAAGCAAATCTTTCAAGTAGCTGTGTCATTTAGTAGCTTTTTTCTTAAAACAAAAAAAGGTAGGAAATATTAACTTATACGAACTGACCCTGAATATTAGCACTGTCCAAAGCACTTGTTCTGTAGTTCTTACTTCTGAAAAGTAAGGAAGGCTTGTTCCTGCTTATTTGCGTGATTTTTCTATGTGGAAGTAGTTGCAAGAATTTTAAAAATAAACCTATTTTTCAGATCTATCAACGCTTTCTTGATAGTGTACTTATGCATCCTATTGAGCAAAGCTACTGTGTGCACGACTCTGAAATATGTCTGGCAGAGTAATCCATTTAACGATGAGCCTTGGTACAATGAAAAGACTAAAAAAGAGAGAGAGACATTCAAGGTAAATGGATTTGTATTTCAGCACCTCCTCCAGCTGTATTTGTTCTGACAGTTATATTTAATCTGATCACGTCTGCTGCCAGTCCTGTGATGCCTGCTTGCTCTTCGGAAGCGCTGTCACTTGCTGCAGTCTCTCCTGTTTGTGTTTGTCTCCTGCCTTGATTACTACCTGCTCCTCTTGCTTGTGTGCAGTGAAGCTCTTAGCAAGGCTTGCACTAACCCCCCTCGCACGCTGCTGTCTCCATCAACCTGGGGGCAGGCGGATGCATGCAGGCTACTGACAGCAGGAGGATAACATCGTTTCCACCGCACAGAGATATTACATAAATGCAGCAGCTGATTTAACCTGGATCCTTATCTGAACTTGAGCTATCTTTCAGCTTCGAGTAGATAAACTTAAATTGAGGCCATGTCAGCCAGGTTCTTAAACTTGCCGAGACGCATGCAGCCAAGCCTGAAAGAGTGAATGCAAGTGGGTGGGAATCAGCTGATGTAGTTGATGGTTGAGTAGGACTTCAGGGATGTCACAGAATCAGTGCTTGACTGTTTTCAAGCCACTTGCTGCAGATACCTGAGATGAGAATCAGCTTGTAGCAGTATATTCTGAAAATGAATGTATGTACCTGGATAAAACGTAGATTTGATCACTTGGAAACAGCTCTGTGCACTCTTCTGTTATACTCTCATATATCTGCAAATGGCAAGGAGATTTTCTACATCATAGGAAAGTTCAGTCTTAACTGTATTCAGTTATTTTCAGAGGGCTTTTTTCTGTTTAACATTTAAAGAAATGCTGTCTCCCTGAGTTATGCCTGACAAGCACAGACTGCATCTTCCTCTTGTCTTTCCATTGCAGGTGTTGCGGATGTTCACAGACTTCTTGTCCTTTATGGTCCTCTTCAATTTTATTATCCCAGTTTCCATGTATGTTACAGTAGAGATGCAGAAGTTCTTGGGCTCCTTCTTCATCTCTTGGGACAAAGAGATGTACGATGAAGAAATAAAAGAAGGAGCGTTGGTGAACACCTCAGACCTCAACGAGGAGCTCGGACAGGTCAGAACAGATTCTGTTTGCATCTGCTTTAAGAGACATCCCCGTGTTGGCAGGGGAGCAGCAGCGCAGGAGGAGAGGCAGAAGACTCTGCTGTAACCAGCAGCACGCACACTGTTACTGTCCCCTCCTGCTCTGGTGGTTGGTGCTTCTGGTGGTGGTTTCTGCGCAGCTGTATGTTTCAGAGCTCTTGATAGCTGTGAAAAGCAACTCATGGGCCACTGCTGCTGGAGTAACATTCTCCCTGATAACAAGCCTTGGTATGGCAGCCCCTGCTGTCCCAGCAGTACAAGGCTTTGGCCGGACTGGTGGCACTTTCCATTTAATGTGATTCCGCTCGCGGCACGAAGTGGGTGAGGTTATAAATAGTGTATGAAGGAGGAGGAACTGGGTCATGCCAATTGTTTCCATACTGGGGAATATCAGGCACAGCACTTAGTGTGTCAGGATGGTTTGCTTTCACCGCTTCAATTAAAAATTAAAAATTCTCTGTCTCTTCAAGGATTAGCAAACATGCCTACCCAGTCATCTCTCTGGGCATGCAGTGCATGTGCAGCCATGCTGCTGCTGGCTTTGCTGGAGCAGTTATAGCTTCTCTTTCTGAGTGTGGGATATGTACAGTGCCTCCTGCTTCTTATTTTAAAATTACTACCAGTTTGGAGTAGCAATTACACGTGTACATAATATAGCACCAAGGAGGAAATCCCACAGGGGAGACAACAGACCTTCAGCAGCAGCTGTATGAGCACTGGGAGCCGGAGCAAAGCAGACAAGAAGTAGAATGAAGGAGAACAAAGGGCCTTGAAGGAAGTTTTAGAAGTCTTTGGGAGATGCCTCCTGACAGCTGTGCAACAGATGGAAAGATGAAGGATGAGGGAAGTGGTAAGATGCCCAATGGTGCCCACACAGGGCACCTGCACGTTTCTGAGGACCAGGTTAGGAAAGCAGCAAAGGGCTGGCACAGATATACCAAAATGCCCCAGCCTTGCAGTTTTTGGAGGGCTGCTTCCACACGTGGCCTTGCTGCAATGATGGTTGCAGCAGTGCAGTGAGGTGGGTGTCTGTTCTTGTCTGCTCTCTTCTAGGTGGAGTTTGTCTTCACTGACAAAACGGGGACACTGACGGAGAACAGCATGGAGTTCATTGAGTGCTGTATAGATGGGCACAAGTACAAGGACTGCATTTCGGAGGTTGATGGCTATTCTCAGACTGACGGACCCCTAAAATGCTATGGCAAAGCAGAAAAGGTGAGAAATCTGCGTCTCGATGTGTTTTGTTGGTGGCTCCAGGCTAGGGGTCAGTACATGATCTATTACTGCTGAAGTGTTGTGGGGAGGGCACTGGATTTTTTGTGTTTTGAAATACATACACACAGCAGGGGTCACCAGCTGCTCAGAGGGGATGGCATGCATGGCACAGAGCTGGTCATGGGCCTTTTCTCCATGCCTAGAGCCGAGAGGAGCTGTTCCTGCGAGCCCTCTGCCTGTGCCACACCGTTCGGATCAAACAAGCAGACCAGGTGGACGGGCTGATAGGACATCCTGAGTGCAAAAACACCTACATCTCCTCTTCCCCAGATGAAATCGCTTTGGTGAAAGGCGCTGAAAAGTAAGAATCTGATGGTGATGCGTTTTGTTTTGTTTCTTGTAAATCTGCTGGAAACACAGGGACCATGTGTGGAGCCTCCTGGCACTCTTGCAATTCTGATGTCCAGCTCCCCATGTCATATGAGAGTGATAACAGCATGTCAGAGCTGGCTCTGCAAGCAGCTGCCCAAGCCTTCTAGCTCGGGCTTGGTAACTTCTTACCTCTCCTCAGCAATACAGGTCTTGAAATGAGAACTCTGTTAATGTGTAACACACGCCAATGGGTGCTCTCAATATTGTTCTGTCCTCTTGTTTATTGACAGGTATGGTTTCACTTTTCTAGGACTCGAAAATGATTTCATGAAAATCCGAAACCAAAAGAATGAAACTGAAATGTAAGTGCCACAGGGCCTGCTAGGAATATTGCTGCCAGGGGCTGAGTGGACTCTGTTCAGCTTTGTCTCACACGTGGGTAATTAAGATCAATCAATGTGGTAAACCAGGCAAGGTCAAAACTTCTCAGCAAAGGCTGTCAGACCAGTTACCGACCTGCACAGCCCCTGCTCCTTTGTGCAGTGAGCAGGCTGAAGGGCTTGCTTGCATGGGGCTGCTGTCAGTCCTGGGGAAGCCTTCAGGTCCCTTGAGTGTGTCCTGTCCTTGCAGTCTCCTTCCTTTCCCAGAGCCTTATGGGTAGCAGCTGCGCCTTCAAGCAGGGCACAACCTAAGCAGTGTGATATGGCTCCCATTGCCCCTCCCAGATGGAAAATGATTTGGTTTTACCCTATGCTCACAGCTCCTGTGACATCCACGTGCATGCAAAAAGCTGGGAGTGAATTGCCTAACTCCAGTACTCCCCTACTGTTTGCCCCCCAAGCAAGTTTCACTTCTCTGGATAGTCAGTGTGGAGCTGTCCTGACGAGCTATGTTCCTTGCACTCAGCCTAAGCTCAGTTTTTCTCCTTTTTAAAGGTATCAGCTTCTCCATACGCTGAACTTTGACCCTGTCCGTCGCCGTATGAGTGTCATTGTGAGAACCACCTCAGGTACAGCTAACTGCACAAATATGAACACACCTTCTTTCTTCTTACCGCGAGTGTATGTAATGTCATGAGCTGCAACCCAGAGAACTGAGGCTGCTGGGTTTTCTGAGCTGTCTAGATACATTAACACATTTTGTCCAGCCTTTTGCAGAAAGCTTGCTCAGGGACAGGTAGTGACGCTCAGTAGTCCAGCCCAATATCAAAGAATCTTTTGTCTAGGTGTCAGACCACTTTTGGGTTGCTTCTAGAAGTTCTTCCTTTCGTTCTGCCATACTTTTCCCTCTGTATCTTTTGCTGGTGTTGACGCCAACGTCCATTAAGCCTTTCTATGGCTTTTGGATGCTATAAAGTATTTGTAACTTTGCTTTTAGGAAAGCTGCTTCTCTTCTGTAAAGGAGCAGACTCCTCCGTTTTTCCAAGAGTGCAGCAAGAGGAAATCCAACAAACTAAAGTCCACGTGGACCGCAATGCTATGGTGAGCACGCAGTGGGGATATGGCTGGCTCTGTGCTCAGGGAAGTTTTATGCCAAAAATAGGATGTGACCTCGCTTTGGAGGGAACTACTGAAAATCCAAGTGTCACTCCTTATTGTTTTGAAGCCTGGTTTCTTTCCTTTTTTGTTTCTTTGACTTCCATGTTTATTTGACTTTTGATATACTTATATGGGTTTGATTGCAGTTGTGTCCCAGCATCTCCCGAGCAAGTTAAAAATAGCACTAACAAAAGCATAGTGTTTGCTCTGGTGGGAGGAATCTTTGTGTCAGTTGTGATATGCATGAGAAGGTGCAAGAGAAGCCTGTCCTGGGAGGCCAATCTGGCAGTGGTGGTGGTGTGGTGAGATGCCTTTTGCTTGGCTCTAAGTGTGGGGCACTCAGTTGTCCCAGCTGGGTGTAGGGTCTCCACTCTGGCCCTGCCCTTGGCTTCTGTCTGCTGTGCTACATGCATGCGTGTGTGCTCTGATGTGAAGAAGTTCCTGTGTGAACACAGATGTTGTCATCTGACTTAAGCCAACTGTTGTTATGGTCAGGTTCAGTACTGACAAATTGCTGACAGGAGAAGTGCTGATCCTAATGTGGGGAGCTGCACAAAACAGGCTTTAAGGGCAGCTGTCTGCTTCTTTTTCCACCCCTACAAGGATGGCTACCGAACACTTTGTGTGGCATTCAAGGAACTAACTCAGAAGGAGTATGACAGGATTGACCGGCAGCTTAATGAAGCAAAGATGGCTCTGCAGGACAGGGAAGAAAAGATGGCACAGGTTTTTGAAGACACAGAAGCAGACATGCACTTGATTGGGGCGACTGCTGTAGAAGACAGGTAAACAGACACCAGCACACAGATCAAGCACGTTGGTACCCATGGTTTCTCCACAACCTTGTGTTGTGGTGGCCCCTTGCTTTCTTGGTGTGAGCCGTGGTGAGATTCCTTTTCAGCCTGGGTTGGCATTCCCTTGGTTAGGGGACAGCCTGGGAGCAGTGGGAGAAAACTTGGAGCCTCCCTGTGAGAGCTGAGCAGCAGGGCAGAGGCTGGGAGCATCCAGGGCAATTACTCTGTGATACAACCCATTACTTAGTGCCTAGCTACGTAAAAATCAGCTACTGTAAGAAGTAGGATTTATTAGTGAAACCACAGAAGTACTCACACTTCTACAAAATGAATGAACGCATGCAGCATCAATTTACATATCAAAACAAATTCAGTTTTGTGTGCTGTTACAGTAAGTGCATGTGTAAATTAACCTCTTATTCTTGGCTCTTGGGTCTTGTAGTATAATGCAGTGATTTTTGTCTGCATGTAAAAAAGTGGGATTGCTGAGCTCTAATCCTTATTCCTGTGGCAGTAGTCTCTTCAGCGTGGGGACAATCAATTAACTTTTCTCTAGCTTACATTCCCTACCTGCAAAATAAGGATGCCTCAGGGGGCTTTGTGGATTAAGAGGCAGTGTTGGCTAAGCCTCTTTACACCCATGGAGTGCTGTATCTCAGAAACATGTTTCTGAGGTTCCTGCCTCGGGCCTGCAGGGAAGCCTTCTCTGAGGGTCTCTTTTATCACAACACTCTTGTGTTGTGCACGTAATGTAGAGCTGCTCCAGGGTCATCCTGCTTCTGTCCAGTAGCGTGGTGGTGCTTCTGCTTGCAGGGCTGTGTGCTAGCTCTGGGTGTGAAGGTGGCCTGGTGGCCAGGACACATGCAGTGCTGAGAGTCCATCAGCCCAGCTTTGTGACTCCCTGCCTGGTGAACTACTGGTCTGGGGATGTGGAGCGTTGTTGGGATGACAGAGGCTGGGGAATCAATGACGTGCCACCACAGTAGCGTGGAGCTGCTCAGAGCCTGCCTTGCATCCAAAGCCAGCCTGAGCAGTGATATCTTTTTTTCTCTTTGCACTCAGGCTGCAGGAACAGTCAGCGGAGACGATCGAAGCTCTGCATGCTGCTGGAATGAAGGTGTGGGTACTGACAGGGGACAAGATGGAGACTGCCAAGTCCACCTGCTATGCTTGCAGGCTCTTCCAGACCAGCACCGAGCTGCTGGAGCTGACAGCCAGGGTGGTGGGTGAGTGTGAGAGGAAGGAGGACCGGCTGCACGAGCTGCTGATGGACTACCACAAAAGGCTGATCCAGGATGTTCCCAAACCCCGGGGTAGCCTGAAGAGGTGAGTGGTGAGATCCAAGCCTGTGTCTGTTAGGAAACACGCTGCTTGCTGTCTCCTTTGCTTTGCTTCTTTGCCTCATTATCTCTAGTGTTAGCTAGCTTTGAACTTAATTATGCAGCTCCCTTAGTGAAGGACGCGTTCTAAATCCAGGCTTTTTATGGTGCCTAAGCCCCCCAGAAAGGATGAGGGAAAGATTACTACACGAGTAGTTCCTTTTCCACTGAGATGATATAAGCAGCTAGATTGACTTCTTAAAGTAACTGATTTTTTTTTCTTCCAAATCTGTTCCTCGTTGTGCCCCAGAAGCTGGACACTGAGTCAAGAATACGGCTTGATTATAGACGGCTCAACGCTGTCGCTGATACTCAATCCTTCTCAGGATTCCAGTTCTAGTCATTACAAAAACATATTTCTACAAATCTGCCTGAAATGTACTGCAGTTCTGTGCTGCCGAATGGCTCCTCTGCAGAAAGCACAGGTATTTCCTTTTCTTTTTTTTTTCCCCCACTAACTGAAGCATGTCATTAAGTGATATAACACACCTCTACTCCGTAGGATGGACTTGACCTGATCTGTAGGTGGGCTTCAAAACCTGTAGTGAGACAACTTTGCAAATCACGCCTTATCTGGCTTCTTGTTGTTGGGGGTCAGCTGCCCTCACTGGGCAGTAGATGTCAAAGTGGAGCAAAAGGCTCCTGGAGGGGTGTTGTTGTTCCCCAGGGAGCAGGAAACAAGGCCTGGCACAGGAAGTCACAAACTCAAAATGCAGCAGTCTTGCTAGAACTGTCTGAGTTACAGATTTGCCAGGAAGATGAAGTAGGAAGACTTTTGGGGTAGTAAAAAAAACCCTTCAAGTTGTAGCCCTTTCATTAACAACGTTTCTTTGGTAGTAGCTGATAGATGTAACCACTGATTATTTCTGTATAACGGTGTGAGGCTACGTTTCCTGCAGTGCTGCTTTAAATAAAGCTTACTCATCTTGATCAGCTAGGACTTCCCCAGGCTATATATTAGCCTTGTCTGAACTTCAGAGCGTTATGGAAACACACCAGTCTTTCAATTATGAATATAAAACCTTTCTTAAATATGCTTGCAGGAAGCCACAAGCCCAACCCAATTAGGAATAAACAAAACCCATTTGTTCTTTTTCTTCCCTTTCCAACTCTGTAGTCCATGACTTCCTCACACCAGCTGATGATAAAGGATGATTAAACAATGCATTTTTAGCCCTGTTCCAGGGTATGATTGTCTTCCACGTGAAATGCGTGAGAGGCCACATCTCTGTGAGAGAGCAGGGTCTGAGAGGGGGCAAGGAGAGGCTACTGCTGGGAGTAATTTGTTTCTAAATGCTGTCCTTCAGCCCTGTGAAGCTGAGTCTTGGCTTTTCCTCTGGTTGATGCTTGCAAAGGAAATAGTGAGGGTGTTGATTAATCTGAACTCTTATTTCGTTGCCACAGAGCTAGGTTACTTGTTCAGGAGTATCTGGGGAGTTGCAGAAGTCTCTGGAGGTGGAGTATTTTTCAGCGTGGGTTTTTTTTGTTTATTTTCTACTGAACTTTTGGTTTGTGCTGCTATCCTGTTTTAAATCTTTAGATTGTGCGCATGGTGAAGAACACAAAAGGGAGCCCGATAACACTATCGGTAGGGGACGGTGCCAATGATGTTAGTATGATTTTGGAAGCACATGTTGGAATAGGTAAGACTCCTGATACACCCATCTGATACCTGGGGCTTCTGTCAGGCTGTGTTGCTTACGTTCACCGTTGTAACTGATCACATGTGACTGAACCAATCCCACTTGGTAGACTGGGGAAGTCACCTGCTGCTTTCAGAGGGCTTTTGGTCCAGATCAGTGCTTGGGATCAGGGTAGGCTGCTGCCCTTTGATAGGCACGTGCTCTTTGTCTTTACCATGTGGTTTACTGCAGATTGCTTCTTACACTTTAGTTCCCTTTGGTGAAACAGTGGGGTTTTTCTGCTGTCTTCTGTGCAGACAAAAGTTGAGTCTATCTTAAATGAAACTGGTAACTTCCTCTGACCTTTGCTTCGCTATTAAATTCAGTGCTGAGAGTTTTGGTGGGATTGCACCTACTCATCTCAGCTGAGCTGAAGCAGGCATTTGTCCTTTACCCAAGTACTGCAGGAGCCTGGCAGCTCTGATTGCAGCTGCAACATGTGCATCTTCGTAGGGCTGATGCTGGGCTGTGCTGTGCCTGCCCTGCCCAGATGCCTGATATCAGGCTGGAAAACTGCTGAATTTCATATCTAAATTTCTGCAGATTGTTGTCAGAGATTGTGGAAGTACTGACAGTTTTTCAAGTACCACTGAAGAGGGAGGGATGTCCTTTCTTTTCTAACCACCCTCTTTATTTCTGACTGTTAGAAATGGCATGTTAGCCTCTAATGAATAGAATCCTTCACTGTAGTTAATTTGGATGTGGTTTTTGAGTGAACAAAACTGGTTTTCTTGCGCTTTGCTCTGAGGGGGATCTCTTGGGAGGCTGAGCTTCTGCAGTGTAATAACCACACTGCTAGATGTGGGCAGGCCTGGGGGAAACCTTATCTTTTATCAGGTTTATCTGAGATGCTCGTCACCACATGCTCCTACATAAGAACTCAGTTAGCAACCTAAGTTCAGGTTAAAAACTCCAGAGGAGGGTCTGATTGTCACAGAGCCAAGGCCACACCAAGTCTTGCAGAGCTTTAACGTTGCTCTCCCAGTGGCTCCCAGGGTCAGTCCCAGTGGCTGGGTACACAGGGTGACACGGACATGTCTGAAGTGTGAAAGTCTTAAAAAACCACAAAGGAAATACAGCCTTTGTCATGGCCTGAAGCATTCAATTATGTGACCAAATTTCACAAGTAGCATCAGTATAAATTTCAGTCCTTGCCTTGCTTTTGTCTCCAGGTATAAAAGGCAAAGAAGGACGTCAGGCTGCAAGAAACAGTGACTACGCTGTTCCAAAGTTTAAACACTTAAGAAAATTGCTACTAGCACATGGGCATTTATATTATGTGAGAATAGCACACCTTGTACAGTATTTCTTCTATAAGGTAAGGATGTGTGTTCAGCTCATTACTTTTGTTTTCACCGTGGGTTTCTCTGATGATAGACATAGTGTAAAATGGAAATATGATGTATAGGACACTGTTCTGTTCATCTAGGGTGGGTGTGTGTCTCCCATGTGCCTGCTAGTTGAAAGCCCTATATGTAGGGGAATGTGAGAGTGTGACTTTCTCCCCTTGTCTTCTGCTGATGCTACAAGCTTACTGGAACAGCGTAGAGCTTGGTAGAAAACAGTGTCCTGCTTTATCTGATAGTACAGTATCAGATAATACTGTCTGAAAATGGGAAAAATTATTGGATCTAGAGTGAGAAGTCAAGCATTCACTAAACTCATGAATGCTTCCCTGCTAACCTTTCTTTTTTCATTTCTCTAGAACCTTTGCTTCATTTTACCACAATTTTTATACCAGTTCTTCTGTGGATTCTCACAGCAGGTAACTTTCAGTAATGTGTCTAAAAAGGCAGGATAAAAAGCCAGTTACACAGCAAGGCTTCCTAGCAGAAGCTTGACTTTTGGTCATCCCTCCACCTCCTCGTCTTTCTTTGGATGACAGTAGGAATTGACCTCCTTGCTCAGTACCTTGTTTTTGAGACTTGCAATTAAAAACAAACAAATAAATTTCCTTTCCTTTCCCATCCATGACCCATTTTTGTTGCTTAAACATGAATGGAGACCTTCCCAAGGTATCAGGGAGGTGTCATAGCTGGTTTGCCAGCACCTAATTTTCCTACTTATACTCTGGAAAGTCTTTCAAAGACTTCCTGATCTTCTCTCGTCAGTTGCATTTCCCTGTACTAAAAGTGTCTTTCAAAAAGAAGAACAATTTGTTCTTTTGTAACATCCTTTAAATAAGACACATGATGAGTGTCATCACTTAGTCCAGATGAGTGTCAGACGGACAGACCTCTGACAGATGGGCTTAGGTGCTTGGAGACAGTAGCTGTGGCATTTGCTTCTGTTCTTCTCTGTCTGCTTGGTCTTAAAAGCGTAAGAGTTTGTTCTCTGCCTGTCTCAGCAAAACCACTTTTTTATTTAAAAAAAAAAAAAAAAAACAACAACAACAAAAAACGATAGTTCCTCTTAAAAGAAAAAAAAAGTCTTTAGAAAGTCACAGGAGACATCAAGTGCATTAATAGAAACAGCAGCACAAGAGCAGCTACAGAAAAGCTGCAGTAACGGCTGTTTTATGACGTTGTTGTGGAGGTCGTGCTGGAGCCCAGACAGGCACAGAGCATGGCCCACATCTGTGACAAAGGGATGAGTCCATGTGGTGGGTACAGAGACAAGGGCTGGAAACTGCAAATCTGTCTCTGGGAAGGCTTTTCAAATGGGATTTCTGACTCACTTTACCCTTTCTTTTCAGCCACTGTACGATGCTGCTTACCTTACCATGTACAACATCTGTTTCACATCTCTCCCCATCCTGGCTTACAGCCTCCTGGAGCAGCACATCAACATTGACACACTGACCTCAGATCCACAGCTGTATATGTAAGTCACAAGGGGCTGTGTGGGCCTCAGTGCACTTTAAGCTTTGTTGATGCAGGACACAGTCCATCGGGGTGGTTTGAGCTGGCGTACCTGCCTTGTGAGAGGAACAGGGTAGCTGTGGAACTGCAGAACGGCTGTTTATATCCCCAGTGCTTTGTGTTAGAGCAGAGCAGTGTCCTATGTATTGTCTATTTCTGTTCATGCTCTTTAATGGTATCTAGTCCAGCAAATTGCACTTCTGTCTGTGTAAAGAAAAAACAAACTGCAGATGGAACTCTTAATCCACAGGTAAAAGCAAGCTGCAGGTCTGGCAAGAGCATTCATTGTGTTAGCTCTGAGCTGAGCAGTGTGAGCCAAGCACTTCCTGGAGCATGTAATGGATGGGGAAATCTAGCTTTGGGAAGAAAAGAGATCTGTTCATTTACAGGAAGTGAATGCTGCTGAAGTCCAGCTCAGGCAGGCAGTTCCTCAGCTTCTGTAGGTGGATAAATGTCCCAAAAGCCAAATCCTCATTTCAGAACATGAGAGCTGAAAACTCTGTTCTCACAATTACCTCCACATTGCCATGGATTGCACTGTGTAAGGAGAGATGGTCTTCATCTCTTGTGCTGGTATATTTCTCTCCTTCCTTGGTTGCAATTTGGGGGTATTCCTGACCCCCTGTGAGACCTCAGATGCTTCCAATTTCCCCCACCCCTTTCCACATATATACCTGGGTGCAGCCTTTCAGGCAGCAGGTGCCTAAAGGTATTATTGATGAAATAACTGCTCAGCTCTATGGTTAAACTTCTGAGCTCCTCCAGCCATGTAGCAAAATGCATGTATTTTCAAATACGTTTGTAATTGAATCTTGTGCAGCACAGACCAATAATAGCAGGCTCCTGTGCTCTCACCTGCAGGCTGTCTGATCACTGGGGTGTGTGAATTGAGGGAAAACAGATTAATTGTGCATTTAGATAGCTTCAGTTTGAATATTCATGACTTTTCATGTGCTGCTGAATACAGAATGACTGCTGTGCCTCTGCTGTATAAATGCTGAGTTGCTGCAGTGCAGATCTCTCATCTGAGGCACAGTAAAAGCCTGTTTACAATGAGTGCTGCAGGACATAGATGGGAATGCAAAATGATTGCATTGAACAGGTTCTTTGCATTTTCCCTTCTTGCAAAAAAAATAGCTCTTAGTAAGGAGTACAGACAAATCAGACTGATCCCAAAGTACAGTATGTTAGAGAATTGTCACTGCAGTACAAGGTATTCCAGTAGGGTTTTGCTTTAGAAATTGTATTTACAGAAGCTCAGCACCATGCCTGCTTTCAGAGTTCATCTTGCTTCAGGTAGTTGTAGTTAGGAAGACAAAATGAGAAGAGAGGATTTTTGGTTTTGCTGTAAACATGCTTTCATCCCTCATAAATCCTCAGATTTTAAGGAGCAGCATCTGAAAAGGCAGTGGTGCAAGGTGCAGGGAGCTGCTGCTGCCTGCAGCCAGATCTCACTCCTGTGCTCAGCCAGGAGCCTCCTGCTAAACCCCCATGCTAAAACCCACGGAGTGATTCAGGGGGTTATTTTCAGCCTATGCAGGAAAACCACCAGGAATGAGGTTTGCAGAGCTTTCCCAAAAAATTTTGTTTGTGGGCTCAACAAAAAGAGGGAAGCGTACCACAGATTCACCACATCTCGTATGTTTCTTCAGCATAGCCCTGGCTTTGAAATTCAGAAGTATGGAAGGGCTGAGGAAGCACAGTGGCTATGGAAAAGGCGTGGGGCAGAATTTGGCTTAGCTCAGACAGGGCTGGGATTTTATCTGCATCGCGTACAGAAGGATAAAAAATAATAATCTCTTGAATATCTCCTGATTATTATTTTTAATGATCAGCAGCCACACAGAGCAGATGTTGTTTATGTCCTGTGTGCTGGCAGATAGTTGGGTGTTTTACCTCTTTGTTTCCTGCAGCAATACCCACAACAAACCCACAGAAACGCAGGGCTTTGCAGCAGGTCCCACGTGACAGTGATTTTTGTTCTTGCTTTCTTGGCAGGAAAGTTTCTGACAACGCCATGCTGCAGTGGAGGCCTTTTTTGTACTGGACCTTCCTGGGCGCCTTTGAAGGACTCGTGTTTTTCTTTGGGGTTTATTTTCTTTTTCAAAATTCATCGTTGGAAGATAATGGAAAGGTAACAACACATCCTCCCCCAAAAAAGAGAAGGCTGAGTGTTTCTTTTGCGCCCTGCCTCTCTTATCTGCCTGACAGCACATATCTACATGCTTAAGCTGTGCGATGTGTCCGGCGGTGTAGCATTGCTTATGGTGTGATTCTGCAGCAAGTGCTTGAAACGTTTTCCAAATCACCATGGCAACAGTGCAGCGGTGATTGTGCTCTCTAAGTACAAGAACTGGTCTTACAGCAGATTCGTGCTGCCTGGTGCTTTGCCCAGGGCAAGGCATCAGTGCAGCTGTACACACAGTGTTCTGTGCTGTCCTGGGACACCAAAGGGAGGTGTTAGCAGGGCTCAGCTGATGGAGACCTTCCTGACACCATCACTTGTGAGCTTGAAAACACCCCAGCTTTTGTTCTTTTAGGGGACAGCGCACGGAGGAAAGCTGAGAATAGCACGTGTTGCATCAGTGCTGACGTTCATGGCCCCAGCTATGTGTAGTCATGCTCTTGTGTTGTAGATGCCATGCCTTTCTGTATTTATAGCCATTCTGGTTGCGTATGAATAGAACATGTAAGCCCCAATGTGTTCTGCAGATGCCTTGAGAGGCCAGGTCGGTGTGGCACTCACATAAGCCCTGTGGTTTTGTCCTGTTTTGTAAACACTTATGCTTGTAAGAACTGCTACCAGCAATTGTTCATAATATCCATGTATGTTTGACTCCTTTTTCGCTCCTATTGACTTTTTTTTTGCATTTTTTAAAAACTTTTACATTTCACTTTCTGTTTTAATGTATGCATCCAGATCTTGACAGCCTTTGGTAAGCATCTGTCCCATTCGTTGCCATCATTTGGATTTATATACAGTATCTGCTTTTCTTTGTTGTGCATAGTCACTAGTATCCACAAACCAAACCGATGCATTCTCACACAGAGAATTACCCATTGGTGCATTCTGCAACTGGGACTGGCCCAGCACAATCAGTAGAGGTGCTGCGGTGGTTCTGTGTTACGAGAAAGCAGAAACTGAGTCAATTACCAAGAAATCATGAAATAGAGGTGGTCCCAATGACTTGTGTTCTCGATCAACATTGCTGTTAGTAGGAGGTTGTGTCTGTCGCTGTCACAACGCCGGTCACTTGTCTGTGGTAGTGCATGGCACAGGGTTAGTGTAGCCAAGTCCTGAGTAGCAGTCGCGCCATTCCTCTGTCCCTTCTGCTCCCTGCTTGCACTGTGTCGTCATTCCTTTCTGTTCTTCTCAAGCAAAGTGGGTAGGAGCACATGTGACCACACACTTTGTCTTCCAGGTTTTTGGAAACTGGACCTTCGGGACGATCGTTTTCACTGTGCTGGTGTTCACCGTCACTCTCAAGGTTAGATTCTGCCCTTCTTCTCCAGTCTCTTTTTGCAGGTGTTCTTGAATGTGTGCTAAATACCCTGTGTGATAAATATGTTGAAGATCATAGAATCATAGAATCACCAAGGTTGGAAAAGACCTAAAAGATCACCCAGTCCAACCGTTCACCTATTCCCAATAGCTCCTACTAAACCATGTCCCTCAACACAACATCCAGCCTTTCCTTGAACACCCCCAGGCTCGGTGACTCCACCACCTCCCTGGGCATCCATTGCAGTGCCTGACCACTTTTTCAGAAATGAAAAGTAATACTTCCTCATGTCCAGCCTGAATCTCCCCTGCCGTAGCTTGAAACCATTCCCTCTGGTCCTATCACTAATGACACGAGAGAAGAGGCCGACCCCCAGCTCACTACAACCTCCCTTCAGGAAGTTATAGAGAGCAATGAGATCTCCCCCGAGCCTCCTCTTCTCCAGGCTGAACATTCCCAGCTCCTTCAGCCTCTCCTCATATGGCCTGTGTTCCAGACCCCTCACCAGCTTTGTTGCCCTCCTTTGAACACGTTCCAGGGCCTCAATATCTTTCTTGCAGTGAGGGGCCCATGCTCCCAAAGCATGCTCAAGATGCTTTTATAAATACCTTTCCTCCCAACACTTCCATCTTCTATTTGCCGTACACGCAGGACATAAGTGGCTTATTGACTGTTGGGTTGTTGACCATGCAGAGTGTGCTTATGCACAAGTGCTTATGTTCTACTAAATTATTTACATATTTTTTGCCTTCTTCTGAGTACTTCAGTTGATTGCATTTGACTTTATTTCGCTTGGCTTTAAGCTTGAGAACAACCAAGCATTTGGGTTTGCCCACCTTGTTTCAGCTGTTGCTCTGCACCGTGAGAAGAACATTTGTCAGAAAAGGACATTTGTCAAACAAGCATAGCAAAACTGCTTTGTTTCATGGAGCTTTCCAGAATGAACAGTTTGCATCAGACCTTACAAAAGGTCTTTTATGTTTGGTTCAGGACAGCAGGTGGTGGCAGAAGGCAGTTGCAGTGACTGCAACCTTTACACAGTCTTTCTAGCATCAGAGATTGTATCAAGCTTATTCTGTGAAAAACTCTCAGCTGCAATTGGAAACTGTTTCCCTGTCACTAGTGTTCCAGTCTGTAGGTGTTGAAAATATTTCCCTGGTGTACATATGCAGAGAGGTGGCTGACTGGAAGACTGCAGCCTTACTGTGAAAGGAAACATGGGTACAGTTGAATACATGCTGCTTCTAATACCTGTTCTGCCTGGTGTTGTTTTCTGTTCTATTTACACAGCTAGCTTTAGACACTCGATTCTGGACGTGGATGAACCACTTTGTGATCTGGGGTTCCCTTGCCTTCTATGTGTTTTTCTCGTTCTTTTGGGGAGGAGTCATTTGGCAAGTATCTTTTCCTTCTGTGGTACTTTCTTAGGGGGTGCCCATCACGTTCTTTGTGAGGAATGTGACTGCAGCTCCCCTCATTTTGTCTGTCAGAAGATTTATAGAGATGTCAGAGTGTTTGCGACCACGATGAGCATGTGTTGATGTTGAATGCCAGGCACAGCAGATAGTAGCGACAGGCAGTGAGGATTGGGGTTTTTTTACATCATCAGATGGCATATTCTAGTGCTGCCATGGTGGAGAGAAACCTGGTGATACGAAAAGAAGGAACAGAAGAGGAGAAAGAAAAATGGAGCATGTGAGCTATGGCAGGAAGCATCGGAAAGGACTGAAAGGTGGATGGGTCAGGGAGGAGGAGGTAGCTGTGGCCTTAGAAACTTAGAAAAGGCAATTTGCTGTTGAGAGAGGTCTTGAAAATTGGCAGTGAAGGTGGGTCAGGGCTTCATAGGAGGGCTGAGATCAGCAGTTCATAGTGGTTGGCTGGGGAGGAGAAAAAAGCCACAGGGAGGAACAGTGGGGGGGCTGAGAAGTAGGGTGAAAAGTCTGCATGGAGAAGCATTAGAGGAGACCCAGGAGGTTGCTGACAGCCCTCCAGAATTAGCACAGCTGGGAGCAGGAGATGGATGGGGAGCAGAGTGGGCAGCCTGTGCCTGTCTGTGTTTGGCAGGGAGGTGTTAGTGCCAGCACCTTGATCCCAGTCTGACCTAGTTGGGAAACACGTGGGGCTGATGGTATTAACCACAATCTATTTGTATCCTTTCTTTTTCAGGCCTTTCTTGAAACAACAAAGAATGTATTTTGTATTTGCTCACATGCTGACTTCTGTTTCCACGTGGCTGGCAATAATTCTGCTGATCTTTATCAGCCTTTTCCCAGAAATTCTTCTAATAGTTTTAAAAAGTATAAAAGAGAGAAGTCATCAGGTAAGGAACAAGATGAAATATTTCACAGTGTTTTTACAAAGGCCTCTCCTATTAAGCACCAGATGAACTGTGTGCCATTCATGTCTCAAGGATGGCTTTCTAGAGTCTCATCCCGCTCGTTCACATGCCAGAGATGTCAAGAAGTTCATCTAAAAATACTGCCTAGATCTCTAGCAAAGAGAGACTCTACGAGTGCCTTTCTTTAGTTGTGTAGACTGGAATGGAAAACTGCTGTCTGCGCAGTATCCCTTCACCAACCCAATCTGATCCAAACACTGTGTTTAGTACTGAAACAAGCTGCTTGTTTTTGTGTCAGTATACCCAAGATGTTCACTGTGGCTGTATCCTGCAGGTGCCAGGGGGAAGCTGGTCAGGGAGGTGCCCACCCCCTAATGACCCAGTCCCCATCCCTCGGGCAGCATCCCCAGGTGGCAGCATCCCAGCAGACCCATCCCCAGGCAGCACCTGCTCCCCCCAGCCATGCCCTGTCGCTCTGTCCGCTCGCCTCCCTCCTGCTCCTCTCCCTGCTGTGGTTCCAGCAAGTTCTGCATTGGGTGCTGCCTGCCAGTGCTGGCCTCCAGGCACCACTCTGCATTTCCCTGGGCAGTGGCGGAGCAGGCCCAGCAGTGTGGCTGCAGGGGGTTCTGCTGCTTCTGGCCACTTGTCTCCTCTGTTACTTTTGCTTCTTTTATACTTTTTAATCAAGCTTATCTTCTCTAAATATCCAATGAAATCATAAAGTTTCTTTTACCCTCGTAATCTTCAAAGTACAACTTTGGCACGGTGTCAGTGAAGTAAAATATGTGTCTGCAAGACCAGAAACACCACCACCTGAACTACTGAATTTGAGAGCAATACAAATGGTAAAACAATTACAGCTAAATTCTTCCCAGCTCCATGATATTTCTCCCTTCCTCTTAAGTACAGTTCAGTAGTATCTGAATTGACAGTTTCTAAATTGGGCAGGATGGGGATGACTTGCTGTCAGCTGCAGCCATAGGGCAGTCTGAGGTCTCTGTCCCAGAAGGGGGATCTGGGGTTTACTGAAACCCAGCTGAGCTCTTAGAGGCCCATTTTGCTTCCAGCTCTTAGCCAGATCCATTCCCACTTAAAATACTTGCTTTCAAGAGTGCTTTAAATGTGTTTAAAAAGGCTCTTGTGAAATCATTTTGTAAATCAACAGTAAGTGTCAACTAGAAAAGTCTCTTCGCATGTGCATACTAAACTAAAGGCAGGCTGAGCCTTATTTAAATGTACATTTCAAGTGAGAGCTTTACAAAATGCCTGGAGCAGATGCCAGCTCTAGATGTCTGTGTCAGCTGTCAGATACCAAGCTCGGCAGCACAGGTAGGGGATTTTAAATCAAGACCCTTTTTGAGACTCCTAACTGTAACACTGGAAAACAAATATCAGTTTCCCAAGGGGAGCCTTCAATGAAAAGCCAGATCAGTGCACTCATTTGGCTTTGTGAGCCCACACCGTGAGAGTTCAGGTCCCCTTTGGGAGGAGGGCATGGACCGAAGCCAGGTTGTGGAGCTTGCTCTTAAACTGTAGGGGACTTGGTTTCTGTATGACAGTGCCAGCTTTGCTCACTCTTAATTAAATTTTCTACGTGGAAATGTTTTGGGGCTTTTTTGTTGTGTTTTTTTGTTTGTTTGTTTTTAACTGCAAGGCGCATTCTTATTTTCTTTGGTTTCTGCCTTTCTGTCTCGTACTGCAATTTTCTGTCTTTTGTGCTGTTGTGAACTAGGTAACGAAGCGCCTTCCTTCCTCAGGAACATCCACTATCTTCATGCTTTCTCAAACTTCCAGCAATCACAGCTTTTCTTGGAGTGAATAAGGTGATTTCCCCTCTGAGCCAGTATGTGCTGCTTACTCTTCTGCTTCCTCCTTCTAATGCATTGCTGCTCAAAAACCTGTGTTTAGATTTGCTCACCTGGCAAGAGCTTGCTTTCTCCTCCACGCCTACTGCTTTCATTTAAATCTTTTGCTTAAGTGTTTTGTCTGTCTCCCCCGTTGGTCCCTGCTGTGGGTGCACACCAGCTGGGCTGAGCTGCTCATGCCCAGCACCTGCAACATGGGTGCAGGTGGTGCTTCCGTGCCCAGCGTCCCCAAGGTGCTCAGGGAACCACAGGCAGGCATTGCTCACAAATTTGGGTTTACCCCGGCCCTTCAGATGAGGCACATTGTGCCTGCTCATGGAAATCAGTGCTGCTACATCATTTAGGTTGGTTTTAGAGGGCTAGATGCTACTTCCTCCAAGTCATGGAGCAAAGTGGGCTCTGTTTTGTTTTCTGGATGATTTGGCAAACAGCTCGTGCTTGCTTGATCTCAGAGGAGCTTCCCAAGTGCCCCAGTTGCCCTGTACATAACTCTGTTATCACTGCAGCTGTTCTGTATGCAAGCAGTAAGCCACAAGTGGCATTCCCTGGCTTGCTGCCTACGGAGGGCTTCCCGCAGGCCGAGCACCTCGAACACAACGCATCCCTGCTGTCACTCACTGTTACAAAACCACCGGTTGTGAGGAGATCAAGGCAGGCTCCTTTTTGAAAGCAGCTGTAGTATAAACCTCAAAGCCTGAAGAGAACCATTTGGGAAGCGGTGCCACTTGCACTGAAAACCCAGCCCGTATGATCACAGTGGCATTTAGGGAGCGTGTGGTGTTACATCCGTGTGGAACGGCGTAGCTGGCTGTAAGAAGTGTGAGTGTGTCTGCTGTTGTTGGACAGCAGCAGGGTAATGTGTCACATGTGCTACAAGTGTTTTTGCCTCGCTGTTGCAGAGCAGTAGGAAGGCGCCCAAGTCGTCCAGACCTTCTGTCACACCACTTCTTTTAAGAACGTTCTCAGATGAGTCTAATGTGTTGTAACAGGTACCCTGCCCTAAGGAGTTGGGATGGTTTTTAAAGGCATTGATTAACCAAATGTAATCCCCAAATCAATTAAGCTGTGGTTCTCGTAATCCTCTTGATTGTTGGTGTGGGGCACCTGTCTGTGATACGGAGATGCAATGCTTGGGATGCATTTTAATTTGGGGACGTGTCCTACTCTTCAGAATCCTGTATGTGCACAGATCTGCTCAATCCAAAGCACTTTGCTTTATATAAGCAGATCCTTCAGTATAGACAATATTCTGATCTAACATTAACAGCATGAGAAAACAGATTTGGGGTGTAAAAGCGCTGATGTACTTGCAGTGGAGTATTCAAGTCTAAGCTATTAAAATGATTCCAAAATTGCATCTGAATAGTATAAAAATCCCATTTTCTATGGTGCATGCTGTTGTGTCAGATAGAAATGAGTACATTTTAATTCATCTGAATAGACTGAAACTAAGTGTGTACCTGTCTGTATGTCAGCATAACGTACAGCAGGCATGGCTCTGTGTCTGTATGCAGCTACACACACAGGGAGCATCCTACTATGCCATTCTAAACATCGTAGTAAGCCACCAGCTGCCTTCTTGCTGCAGAGAAATAAAAGTGCCTGACTGAATTCACAGCCTACAGGTGAGATGTGACATGGCTGCGTGCTGCCAGCTGCAAACATCAACACGAGGATTTTCTGTAACCCCTCCCTCTGCACACATGGCAGCCTGCAGAGAGCCCACTTTACAGGGAGGGCAGCAAGCAGCTGCACGGCTGCCAAACTTTAGCCTGGGTGCTGCTGGGCTCCACGCTGCCTTCTGCAGCCCGTGCAGAGTCCTTCACCCTCCCATTCGGCTGTGAGTGAGGTTTGGCACTTTTATTGTGGGCTAATCATTCTTCTTCTCCCTTTATTTATTTATCTTCTCCTTTCTAAAATATGCCAAAAGGCTTACTGTGGTTTTGGGAATGTGACAATTGCAATACATGTGCGTTTTCCTTCTGATTTTTGCAGACTGGCATCTTTGATCTGCCTATATTAGTGTCATACAAACGTATAGAGAATGGTTATGTGAAGACTGAAGATGCTCTTACTAATCTGGCAGAAAGATATCCTCTCAGGATACTTTAAAATGCTCCATCCAAATAGTGCAATTGTTATCCTGCAGGAAAATGTACCGGTTCTGTTGAGTATTACCAAGCTCTGTAAGCAGCCATGCTGACAAAGCAGTAGCCAGGCACTGGCCACAGTAGCTGTTCATCTTTGGTCTTGTTGCTTCCCCCCTGAAAAAAAAAAAAAGAAAAGAAAAACATAATTCTGCCAACTCAGAAGTCTATGTAATTGGAGACTGAGAAAGCATCTTTTGGAATTCTTCAAAAGCAGCATGATCAGAGTGAGAGCAATGCCTCCCCACGTCACACGGGGGCTTCCTCCGACCGCTGCAGCTCTGCCCGAGAGCAGCAGGGAGCTGCCGAAGCCTCTTGCTTTGCCTGACCAAAGAAGTAGCACAGACTCTGAGCCCAGGTGCTGGGCATCCTCCTGCAGCTGCTCGCTCCTCCGTGCTGCCGGGCTTTCTCTTGGCAAAAGGTGAAGGAAGGAAACGTGCCAGGACTGCTTGTGGTGAAAGGAAATTTCATGGGGAGGGAAGAGCCTGAATGCTGGGCTGTGCCACGCTTCCAGCCCAGCTCTCCTGGTTGCTGTGGCTGTGCTGACATTAGTGCAGTGAGCAGCTGCCAAAATGCTGCGGATTTCTGGTGGCAGTGTGTCCTCAGCCAGCTGCAGGGACGTGGATGGTGCCAGTGAACTTGTGGGCATCACACTGCATCTTGAGTTATTTGCACTAAGAAAAAAGAAGTCGGTTTTAAAATAAAAGGAATACGTGCATTCATTTTACACTTAATTTGGTTTTTAATTGGCATGTTCTTTTTAAATCTACCTTTAGCAAGGACTTCTACCTTTAGGTTGGTGCAGCAGAGATGAGGTGCCCGACCCTCAGACTTCTCAGACGTCCATGTGTGGAACAAGCAGCTTTTTCACTGTCTTGAACCCTGAGCAGTTTTGGAGTGCCCTGCGTTCCAGCACCCTGCATGGGAAGGTGCTCTTTGCACTGCCCGCCCCTGGCCCTGCTGGGGGCTGCCGTGGAAATGCTGTGGTGAGCGCTCACTCACCTCTGCCTGCAGCAGATTCTGCTTCGCTTCTGTGTGAAGAAGTGATGATTTATAGCCAGATCAATCATTCCCTTCTTCAGATTTTGCTAAAGAACGGACTGTTAGTTGTCTGAAGAATCAAGTCTCGTGCCGTCTGGCTGCGGAACTCATGGTTGGTGCTGTGAAAACAGGGTGTGGATCAGCTGCAGGCATGCCTGCATACACAAGTTCTCAGCTGTGTGGGAGAGGGCTGCAAGTGCGAGGAGCAGAGGGGTATGCACAGCCCTGTGGCTGCCCTGCAGGACATGGACAGGTCTGCTGTATTATTTACTCTGCACCAGCCCAACGCCAGCGCGGTCACCTCGACAGTGACTGCAGTTCCACCCCTTGCTGCATGCAAGCCAGGAGCTGTGCTCCCAGCATGTGTCCCATGGGCAAAGCTTTTTTTTCTTTTTTCTAGCTCGTCTCACGGATCTACCATTCAACTTGCAGCCCTTGCCCGATTCTCAACTTCTACTGCTAAAATGTCTGGTGCCTGGAGATCAAGTATGCGATGAATACAATGAAGATGCTCTGTATGCCAAATCTAACCTTTCTCCTTAAATATACAGTTGCTGACTTGTGTTTACATAACCTTTAAAACACAGGCGCTGAAAAATGCAATTCCTGTGATTCAAAACCATTCCAAGCCCTGGTGGTCCCAAGCCTGACAGCCCGCTTCTCAGTTTGCTTTATCTTGTGTTCTTCTTGGGTCAAATTCTCTTCCTGTGAGATGCAGCTGGAAGCCTTGCTGTTAGGTTAGGGGGAACACGGACGTGTGATGTCCAAATAAAGCCACTGCACCAGGCCAATGGCTGCAGCCTGTGCTGAGATAAAGCCTTCTTGGAACCAAATTTCTATTGTCATTTCCAAGTGCCCGATATCAGTCTGGAGCAAACTGTTGCTGCTGCTGTGCATCCAACTCCCAAGGCATGCATGCTGAAAAGTAAGTTGGTACTAATGGGAAATGTTATGAATAGCAGCTCCTTTGGGGAAAAGCAGGTTTTCTTGGGCTTGGATCTCCAGCTAGTACACAGGTGTAGCTCCACAGACCAGCAGAGGAGCTGACCCTATTTTAGCAGCAAGAGCAGAATGGAAATTTTGTAGATGTATCATGAAATCAGGAGAAACAGGAAATCTATGCTGGAGTCATGAGAAGGCAAAGGAAGATGGTGGTACCAGCTGGAGGGCATCAGCCAGCAGGACGGGGAAGCAGCAGTAACGGGGTGGTAATGCTGTGATCATTATTCAGATGCCGTAAGGTGAGCTGCACTGTTACGGTGCTCGTTAGGGAGCTGAAAGGCCAGTACAGGCTTATCGGTGGGGAAACCTGAAGGAAAACGGCTGGGGGTCTTCAGATTAATCCCCTGAAGTTTATTCACTGGCTAGTGACACTGAAAGATAAGCAAAGTAATGAAGATTCCCTCTAAAAATGTAATGTGATAATGGAAAAACGTGGTGTAGTCATAGCTGCTTGTCAAAAACTAATCCTAATTGTCATGAGAATATTATAAATGACTTGGAATTGCGTACAGGCTTGAAATTGAATTTGTATAAACACTGTTGAAAACCTTACCTAATACTGCACCATTCATCCGATTTCCCAGCTATGGATTTTTTTTTAAATACAAACATGCAGTGTATACAAAGTGTAAATTATATACAGGCAATGAGAAGATACATTTTCAGCTTCTTGCAAAAAAAAAAAAAAAAAAGGACTGCGACCTTACATTTTTTTCACTTTAATGCAATTTTATACATTTATGTTGCTTTATATAAAAGAAACTGAATGTGAATGTTACCTTTTATGAATGCAACTTGCTCTTTTTTCATTACGGAAACTTATGTTTGAAGTAATCAATAAACTTTGGTATGTTGTTCTGATTAATACGACATTTTGTTTTGTCTCCTTGGCCTCCCTGGCTGCGGTTTGCACCACGGGGGGGATTTTGAAGGAGGTCTGAGATGCTGACACGGCTGGGCTGGGCTCATTGCAGTGATGCTGTGCTGAGGGACCGCTGGTTGGTTCTGTGTTGTTTTTTGTCAGCACAGTATTGGCAGTGCTGTTGGTAACAGCACGAGGATTTTTTCTTAATGCTCTGCATTGATTCTGTGTTATGGCTACTCGGAACAAATTAACTTCTGTTGTTATTTATTTCACTTTTTTTGCTGTTTTTTGAGCTCAAAGGCTAGAAACACGTAAATGAGGGTTATTTTGTGGTTGGTGAGGTGCATGCAGCTAGTGAAGTGCAGGGCAGCTGTTTCCATGGATGAGACTCCACTGATGCAATTGGTTCCAGCAGGTCTCGTGGTGCTGGTGTGAGGCACAAGACAAACGCATACTTCTTAGGACACGTGTCTGATTCAAGCTGAAATGTTCGCAATGAAAACTGACAGCCAGTGTGAAAAATTCTGTTTTGGCTGCTTTGATTTCTCCAGCTCCCATGAGGCTCTGCGGGACAGATGGCTGTGCTATTTAAAACAAACTATAACCTTTAAGAAGAAGCTGGTACTATTGGAAACTGGATACACGCATTGAGCCTCTTCATAGCTGACGTGGAATGGTAGTGAAACTTGGCTGGAGGGCTGCAGGCGAGTAGTCAGAGTGAGTGTGGTGCTCCACCAAGCTGCAAATTAGCATTTAAAACATCTGTGCACCACTTCACCTTAAAATGGAGATTGAGTACTACTGCAATTGTAAGGCAGTTTTCGGCAAGGAGGGCCTCTGTGCTGAGGGTTGGGATGCTGACAGGAGGGCTGGAGGTGTGCTTGCACCCATGGTGTGCGCAGTGCCAACCTCTGTTCTGTTCTCTGCTTGGAGCTTGCTGCTGGCACCGTGTCTGCTGGTAACCTGCTGAGCTGGAAAATATGCTGTGGCCTGCAGGAAGGGTGTGTGGGCACCCGTGTGTGTGTGTGTGTGTGTTCCATCCAAAAGCAGGGGTTAGAGCAATATAGCCTGGCTTAAGCAGAGAAAAAGATGTGGGGAGAGCATGGGGGAGTCCTTTACTTTCTTACACTGGTTCAGCAGGTGAAATAAAATCCCAGTCCTGATGGAAGCAGTGGCTGAGCTGGCATCAGTATGACCAGGGTCCCTCCTGGCTGGGCAGGCTCCAGATGACATTCAGCTGGCTCAGGTTTTCCACATCCCAGCACCACCCTAAAAATTAAATCCGTCTCCTTTTGTCCATCAGAGTCTGGGCGTGGGGGTGAATGGCTGCGTTTGTGGCTGGGCTCACAGTCGGCAGCTTGCAAGGATCTGTTGTGCAGAGATGAACCTGCAGAGCTGATGCTGTGCAGTGCAGCAGTGTGCCTGCAGCGGCCATCCAGGGGCTAGGATTGGGCCAAGCCAGGAAAATACACTGTAGCAATAGGTTTTCCCTGAATTAGAATAAAATATGTGCTGGGAGAAATAGTTGATTCGTTTATTCAGAACCATCTCCACAGGAGATGCTGTCACCAGGAGGCACAGCCTTGAGACACGCAGGCTTTGGGCCAACACTTGCCTCCTTGTCCAGCCCTCTGCACAGAGGCAGACACAGACTTTTGGGGGTCTGTAGGAAGCTGGAAGGGTGCTTGGGGGGCTACAGCACCTCTGCTGTGGAGATGGCTTTGAACAGAAAGAGGGGAGATGTGTAAGAGGTAGAAGGAAGGAATGCTTTGCTCTGAGAGCAGTGAGGCCCATCCCTGGAAGGCCAGGAGGGCAACGTGGCCCAATTGGAGGTGTGTGCCCTGGGCTTGGAAGCAGAGGATCTTCAAGGTCCGTTCAGCCCAAACTGTTGTGTGATGTGCTCAGAGGGGCCTCACTTTGTGTGACCTGCTGCAGCTGAGGGAAAGCAGCCTTTCTGTGATAAGAATACGAGCGGAATGCAGCACAGCTGCCTTTGCACGCTCACAGCCTCGCGTGTGGCTGTTTTATAGCTGTGTTTTACTGCTGTGCCCCTGAATTGGGCTTTTTCGATGAGTAACTGCACATGAACTCTTTCTCCTTCTTGTACAAAATGCCCCTTATGGCCAGACAGAAAATGGTTCAAACCCAGCTGAGCGAGGATCTGCTGTAACAAAGAGTGCTGACTGAGTGGGTGGTTTTTCCTTGGAAAATTCTGTATCAGTGCATGGAGGGACAAAGGCTGCTGAAATATGGTGTTTCCATATTACCATCCTTAGACCTTGGGTCCTAAATTAATAGCCCCAGCTGCTGTAGTGTTGGAAAAAGGCTGCTATTATAGTAAAGAGCGTAATTAAAAGGTTGTTTTGGAAAAACAGGAACATCCACTTCTCTGTGCTGGCTTCCTGAGCAGCTCTGGCTGCTGTTGGCAATGAGCTGTCATCGTTTGAACCTCGGCACTGGGACATGAGAACTGCTGGCTCAGGTGGGCGGTGTGTGCTGGTCAGATGCAACCGTGCATGGCTTAGAATCATAGCATCATAGTCTCACTAAAGTTGGAAAAGACCACCAAGATCATCTAGTCCAACCATCCAACTTAACCACCAGTACTGCCTGCTAACCACATCTGTCAGTGCCGCATCTCCACGTTCTGTGGGCACCTCCAGGGATGGTGACCCCACTGCTCCCCAGGCAGCGCCCAACCACTCTCTCTGAGAAGTATTTCCTATCATCCAGCCTGAACCTCCCCTGGTGCAACATGAGGCCATTCACTCTTGTAGTATTGCTGTTAGCTGGGAGAAGAGGCCAACCCTCATCTCGCCACAGCCTCCTTCCATGCAGCTGCAGATGATGATGTGCTCTCCCTGAATCTCCCCTTTTCCAGGCTGAACCCCAGTTCCCTCAGCTGCTCCCCACCAGACTGATGCTCCAGACCCCTCACATTGCCCATCTCTGCTCACACCCCACAGCACCTCGATGTCTTTCTCTAGTGAGGGGCCCAACACTGAGCACAGCACTGAGGTGTGGCATCAGCAGAGCTGAGTATGGAGGGACGACCACCAGCTGCTCCTGCTGGCTGCACTACTGCTGGCACAGTTCTTAGTACTGCTCAAGGAATTTTCTAAAATACTGCTGACTGAGGATGAAAACGTGGCGCTCTGGGTTTTTGTTTGCTTGTTTGTTTGTTTGTTAGTTTGTTTTGGAGATGGGAGTAAGAGAAGCAGATCAAGTGAAAATCTAGTTTTGCAGTAGGAAACGCAGAAGGCATGACAATGAGAAACAACGACTGCGCTCGGCCTGCGCGCCCCGGGCACCTTCGGGGCCGCAGCGCTCCCGACGCGGGCAGCCCCTGCACGGCCGAGGGCGACGCAGCACCGCCGAGCACAACACGGCAGGGCGGGACGCGGGGAGCAGCGCCGGGCAGACGGCGGGGGAGGCGGGGCGGGCGGCCCGGCGGGGCGGGCTCGGGGCGGGCAGGGGAGGCTCCCAGTTCACCAGCCCCGCCTCGGCGGCGGCGGCGCTCGGGCTCGGGGCGGCGGAGCGCGGCCGGCGGGGGAGCGCTGCCGCGGGGCATGGCCCTGGCGCCGGCCCCGGCCGGGCCCCCGCCGGGGGGTACCTCGGCGGGGGAGATGGAGCGCTACTACTGCCTGCTGCGGGCCGCCGCGCTGCTGGAGGCCGCCGCCGCCGGTGAGTCCCGGGGTGCGGGGATCGGTTCCCCGAAGGACTGCGGGTGCCCGGGGGGCGGCGGGGCGCGGCGGGGCGCAGCTGCGCGGTGCTGCCCGCTGCCGCCCGCTGCCCCGCGGGGTCTCGGCTCGGGGCGCCGCGCGGGCTCCGTGGGGACTCAGGGCTGTCCCCGCTGCGGCCCGGGTCTATTTGTGGAGCTGCGTTCACGTTCTTAATGGAGATCGTTTAAACGCGGCTGGGTCTATTCCGGGCGGGCACCAAGCGGAGCCCACAGGTGGTAACTTCTCTCGCACGGAAAGTGTGAGTTCAGCAGCGGGATGCGGGCGCGGTGCTGCGGGCGCTGAACTCCGCCTATCCGGGAAGGCTCCGGTGGGCTCTGCACAGGCTGATACGGGGACGCTGGGCTTTTTGGTTCTGTGGGCCACATTACCGGTGCTGAGTGGCTTCATTCTCTTCAAGGAGAGGCTGTGCTACTCTGTGCTGCTGACATCTCCTATTTGTTATTGGAATGCGTCGCTCCAGATGAACCTGAAGTGAGGAGATGGGCTTTGATAAGCAGAAAGGTGCCCCCCTCTACAATTTCCCGCAGCTGCAACTGAGGAAGGCTCTGTGAAGCCTCAGGATGGTGATGTGCCCTTCCTGAGCTTCCAAAGTAGCAAAGCAGCGGTGTGTGCAGAGCACGTGCGGCTGGTGTCAGCCTCATGCCCCATCCCTGGGCCTTTGGCACTGCCAAACCCCATGCCAGGGGATGCCCAAAGCTGCAGGATGTGCTGGGTTGTAGTTCCGTAATGGCAGGGCACAGCTTGACCCGCTGCCCTGGGCTGTACGCTGCTCTTGTGCCTCAACAATGCGTCCTTTGATGGACAATGATCTGCTCATACACTGCAGCATTGACTTCTTTTTTGTTGTTCTGTTTATCTGCGGGGAGAACAGATTTTTGGATTTCTGTGGGGAGGTCTTTAATGGCTGGGGAAGGTGGTGGCATCCTGGGTGACTCCATTGCCACTGGAGGATGCATACCTTGCTGGGAGATGAAGGCGCTCGTTGCTCCTCATTAGCTCACAGCTGGTAGTGTGCTTGGAGCCGTGCCAGGCACAGGAAAGACACACTGACCCAAAAAGGCTTACAGCTCCGTTCCAGTTCCCTTGACCTCTTTGCATAGAGCAGCATAAGGCACGGGAGGAATTGATCAGGAGGAAAGGCTGCAGGTGTGGACTTAGCAAAGCATCCCCTGCTCCTGGGAGCAGCTCTCGGGAATGCTCTCCTCAAAGCACCCTCTGCTCCCATCACACACTGCCCTATGCCACTCTGCATCTGTG